AATCTCTCAAGGTCTCAGCCTGAGCCTGTTTGCTGGGCAGGCTCAGCAGTGCGGTGGGTGAAGGTGAGTGGAGGTGACTAGTCATTCAGGCTGCTCAAGTGGAAGGAAGCAGGGTGGAAAAAAAAGGCAAGCCCTGCTGCTTGATCATTGCCTTCATGCCTTCTCCTGGGAACTAGCTTCTTCCCCAGCTTTGCCTGGAGCTCCTGCTCTGGCTCTTCACTGTGGGAAAACCTTTACCGAACAATAAGAAATGTGGTAGAATTGAGAGAATCGTGATGGAAGTAGGAGAAAGGAGGAAACAGTGGAAATGACATGTGCAAGAGGAGGAGGGTTGTGTATACTGAGAAATTTGGATCTATCTGTGCTGCTTCCATCCATCCTGTAATGCCAGAATTCATGTGAATACCCTCCATTTTCTGTTTTTCAAATATGATAGAAGAATGTGAGATACTGAGCTTCAGCATTTGAAGGTTTTACCCCAAGAAGAATAAAAATTAGCTCAAAAAGTGAAAAAAATTAGAATTAACTTTAGTTGCTGGCCTTACTTGTTTTAAGCAAGAAGACTATTGCTGAGGTCGTGTCATAGTTTGGGCTGGGCTGGTCACTAAAACTTGTTGAAATAGGTTGGTAGCTTACCCCTTGCTTTCCTTAAAAAAATACCCTTTCTTAAAAGGACAAGATGTACGCAGTCTTACCTGTTCACAAGAACCAGGTCATGTCCTCGGTGTGAGACAAGGCAAAAATACAAATTTCTGATTCCTCCTGTTTCATCTGCTTTGAATGTAATCCTCAAAGAACCTCGTTGAGACTTTAAACAGGCATTTTGAGAGCGCAAAACCAATTTTTGCTAATGCAAAAAGCATTAGAATATGCTTTAGCTAAGCAGGCTTGGAGGAATTCTCTTCTGAACTGAGTCCAGGTGATACTGCTACACTTCATTTGGTATATATTGATAAAGTTGTGCTGACATGAGCTGTAGAAGACCTTCCACCTTTATCTGCTCTGGTCCAGTTCAGGAACTTGTAAGTCCGTAAGGCATTATCTCTGATGATCCACTCATTTTATCCCCTGCTCTAAAAAGGTGGTGGAGGGTAAGGAGGGGGGAGGAGGAAGAAGGAAGGGAGGAGGGTTAAAAAAAAAGAGAAAAGGCAAAGATCCAGGGATGGGGCGATGAATGCAAACTGGCATAGCTCTATAATCTCTGCATGGGGAGGGAGGGGGGTGGGGGTGTGATGGTTATCCTGGTCTGTAATAGCAGATTACTGTAGTGAGGCAGAAATGATCTTGGGTTTGTATCAACTGCAGCATTAGCAACACCATTGGGGTTGTAACTTTGGAGAGAAGGCGTGAGTCTCTGTGCATGAGCTTTATTGGCTGTGTTTTGAAGTTATAATTCTGATGTTGTCTTGCCCATCTTTAACCTTGATGAGAACCCAGATTTCTTTAATTTAATGAACAGGTACAGACTGTCTGGGCTACAAAAGCTGTCTTCAGAAGTGATGAACAGGGTTTTATCATGTTGGGTTTGCTTCAGTAGTTAGTGAAGGCCTGAAGTGCACTGGTTGTAAAGCATTTGTATGGAGTTGTGTGTCAACAGCCCCATGCCTTATGGATAAAGAAGTCTATTTTCGATAAAGAAATGAAACTGCAAGAGAAATTTGCTGAGTAATCTGTTTGTAGTCTTGTTGGTTTGTGGCTTCTCAGATGAACGTGTGCTGCAGGAACTGTGTTTCTGTGAGAACAGAAGTCTGCTGGGTCTCCTCTTGTGGCGAGGCTGGTGCTGAAGGGTTTTGCTTTCTTCAGTGCTTACCAGACCTGGTACTCCCATTCCAAGAAAGCTGAACTCTCCTCTTCATGGGAAAGGGTGAGAGAATGGGAAAGAAGAGTAATGTCCTCTTTGAGTCTTTGACTTTAATATCTATGTCTCTTGGGAAATAAAAATGATGAGTTAAGGATAAGCCTGAGCTTTATGTTTTTATCCACCCTGTATTTTGATCATCCACTGTCAGCCTTTCTCATCAGCATGTTTTGAAATGGTTTTAGTTTGCATTATATTTAGACATGTGCTTTTCTCTCTTGTACTCAGTGTAGGACATCTGTCACTGTTCACTTCACTGCAGGTTCCCTGCTTATCTTCTGGGTGTTCCCCTGCACCCCCCCCAGTGTATTTGTGCACTGGTTATTAATAGCCCACATTATAATTTGAAAAAGCTGTTATTTATTTAAGATGGATACAGGGAAATATGTGATAAAATAAGAATACTTTGAGTATTTGTCTCAGAGAAAATTAGTTCTTTGAAGCATGGGTCTGTTAGGTGAATATCAGTAGCTGTTCCGCCGCCACATCCAATTTGAGCTTTGCAACTGTTCAAGTATTTCCAGTTTGAACTCCACCAGGGAGTGGTGATGAGAAGTTAGCTTGGTTTTAAGATGGCTGAGGTGACTATCTGACTAAGATGGTAGTTTAAGTTTGTTTTCTTCTGCCTAGTCACAGGATGTGAGATATAGGTTACTGTGTAACTGGTTTATGAGTTATCCCTGATATTAGCACCTCTTGAAGCACTGTTTGTGCAGCTGCAGCAGATGGTCAGGATGAGAGCCGAAGGAGATGGATCAGAGTGGAAGACATCAAGTGGGCACAGACTGTGCTTGTGCTAGGATGAGATACCAGAGGATAAATATAACTTCAGCCTAGCATCAGAATAACTTCTGCTGTTTTTTTTTCCGGTGTATCCAACCAGCATATACATACTATCTAGAGAACGTGAAGCGATAACCTGACTTAGAGTATATGTGGGTATTTTAAGGAGCTAGTAGAAGTATTGCCAAAATAATAATTGCACATTCATGATTAGAGCATTCGTGTTTCTTCCAGTAACTCCATGAGATAAATGGTATTATTTCCATCTCAAAGCCAGTGGGAGAAAGGGAGGAAGAAATTACTTGCCTTATGTTGTGCTATGAATTGCTGGTGGCATTTGGTTGAGGTGCTAGAATTTGCAGTTAGGTTCAGTCCTGTAGTAACACTGTTCAGCGCTGTACAAGCCAACTGGAGAAATGAATCTTGTGTTGTAACTGGTGTTTTAGTGACCAGTGGGGTCTAGAGCTGTATCTGCTTTGACTCACTAGTTGAAATCTGCCCCAGGTTGTAAGGTCCAGGGAGATGCCACTGAGCCACCAGTGGCGTGCGGTTCAGGCATGATTTGTTGGTGCCAGGCATCACAGGAACTCCAGCCATGACTCTCAAAATTGACTTCTTGTCAGTTGTGTTCAGTGAAGAATGACTAAGTGGAGAATATTTGAGGTTCTGTTCTACCAGGAGAACGCTTTTCTCTGTGAGATGAGGCGTGTTGACAAGGTTATGCGATGAAGCCTGTATTCAGCTTTCACAGTTTCACTCTGTGGGATTTCAGGAGACACATGAAAGCCTCAAAGGTCTCTCTCTGCTTTCTCTTACTTTCTCTCTTCACCCTTCAGGATAGAACAGGCCTGTGTTGGTGTGCACCTAACGGACTTAGGCTTTAATCGGTTCAGAAGCCAGGCAGGCTCAGGAAAGGACTTGCTTTCTCCCTTAACTACGAGCTGGATAATTGCCAACTGATAATTGTGTGAGATGTCACTCGTGTTTGTAAAGACCTGGCTAATACTGAAGTATTTTTTCAGTCAGTGGGTGGCAGGGATGATAGGATTAATGATATTGCATCCTATCTAACACCTCTTTTTTTAAGACTACATGGCTTAGAGGAATTAAAAGCAGGGTTCGTAGCCATGTTCATATTAGAAGATCTGAGTGGTTCTTGAGGAGTTTCTTAAGCTTTAAGTACAGTGATAGGCACTGTATATGACCCTCTGATACATAGAATATGAAATCCTTATTTTGACAGTAGCACTGCACAAAGTAGGTGTTAGCTCTGTGCATTTAAGTACGAAAATGATCAGTGGCTAAAGAATTTTCTTCCCAAACATTCCCGAAGTTAGGCCAGAGTTAATGGTGCTAGTAGGACTAGTGTATTAGTCTTGTGTATTGGTCCTAGCTAGTTAGGATACATGATTAGCAACTCCGTGTTCCAATTAAAAAGTGGAATACCTTGTATTTTTGAAGCTGCAGGTTATATAGTAATTGAGGAAGGAAAAACAGGGCTGTGACCGTAGGAGAAAGCAATATTGTAGCAGTGGAATGAAATATAACAAAAGTAGCTGTGCTAACTTTACTTGTTTTTATTCATACCTCCAATTCAACCTTTCACTCATTTTTATCTGTTAGGCTATAAGATTCCTCATTTGTTTAGGGTTAAGTTACATTGGATATTGCAGTAAAATCCCCAGTTTATCCTGCATGTAATGAACTGATTTTAACAGTATATGAACCTTTCAGGTTCATATAAAATGGGAAAATAACCCTCTTATTCTGTCCGCCTAAACCTGGTTTTAAACCTTGGTTGAACAAAAGTGGGAATTGAATTGCTGACTCAATTTCAGGTGCTTTTTGTTGGTATTGCAAGAGAATGGTATGGGGAATGATCTTCCATCACAAACCTCTTTTGCAGTGTGGAGGAAGGCAGGCACGTAGGTGGAAATGTTATGTTTGCTTTTACATTGTTTACATTATTTTTACAGTATTAAAGCGGGATAAACTTCCAGCCATTCTGGCTGATAGATTGCATTTTTGTGAAATCAGAAAATAAAAATGGAAAGATTCTTACTGCCTTTACCACTGACACTTTGGTAATTTAAGTAGGTAATTCTTGGATTATTGATGGATTTGTGGACCTTTATTTTAGATGGAAAATGTACTCAAAGTTGTCAATATCCTCAGTGATAAAGTAATTGGAAGAAAGACTAATAAATGTGTGGAAGCTGTTGCTTCTTTCCAACTTCGGTTGTTCTTTGGTTCCTTAGTTTTGTCCGCTCCTGTATCTGTATATTATGTTTATCATTACAGTACTGTAACTTTGTGAGAAAAGAGTTTTTTCTAATGGTTTGCTTTTTTCTTGTTTCAGAACCGAGAGCTCCAGATTATGAGAAAGTTGGATCATTGTAACATTGTCCGATTGCGTTATTTCTTCTACTCGAGTGGAGAGAAGGTAAGAATGGAAAACAAGGCAATGCCTTCTGGTAACCACCTGGGGTATAATGGAACTGTTTGAATTTCTATAGACGGGAGTGGGAAGATAGTAGATGTGATAAAATTGAGAAAATGCTATAGTGGTGTCCAACAGATTATGTTGGAGCAGATCTATTTTAGTGTGGAAGTGTGTGGTCCATGAAGAGCAATGTTATTAGTATAGCACAACAATAGCGTAACAGATGTGGATACGCACTGACTCTTTTTTAATTTAGTGGAGTGCAGCTGGGCTTCATTTGCACATTCTGGCACTACCTTTCCATATGTGTGGTTATGTTTTCTAGGATTCAGCATTAAGCACTCTAGATTTAAAGCAGTTACGTGATTTTTCCCAGACTCGATCTCTGTGTGCTTCTGTCCCCCTTCCTTTTGCATTTAATCCATATACAGGCTGAGTTTCAAAGCCCAGAGGAAAGAATAATGTATGATCACGTGACTGTAGCATTTGTTAGAATGCGTACGCTCCAGAAGAAAGATCGAATAGCTGGAATTAATAAATCTCAATAAGTAGACATTGCCATTTAAATTTTCTTTCAGTATAGGTATAAAAGCTCCATGGGTTTTTTAAAAATGGATTACAAGGTTTTGTTTTAAGGTGAAGTTATAACAGCTTACTTGTCTATGTATGTGTCAGCATTTTAGGAATCATAGGAGAATTCACAATGAAATGGACCTCAAGATGATATGGTCCAACCATGGTCAACCTCATGCTTAAAGCAGGGTCATCCATTATGTCAAAAAAAAGAAATAATAATAAATTCTTTCTGGCCCACGTGGGAGTTAATGTAAGCCGTGAGGTGCGGAAATGGAGTAAATGACCTTCGGAACTTCCTATGATCTTTTTATATATAATTATAAATATTTATATAAATTATATAGTTATTTATATAAGTGTTACAATTTTTCATTTTTTAAAGCAGATTGTGTCGTTAGTTGTCTTCAGCTGCTAGTACACACATCTACAATGCTGTAAAGGACTGTAGCTGATGGCCTCAGAAATGTTAATAACGGCTGTTGCCATGAAGTAGGTCAACAGAATGTGGGTGACCCATTGACTTCATGGTCTTTGGAGCTAGGGGAGGAGCTGACATCTCCAGGATGAGTTGGTGGTGGCAGGTCACTGTCGTCTTGTGCATGGGGATAATGGGAGAAGCTCTTTGGTTACCTCTCTAGGAGGTACTTCTAGGGGCCACATGCCTTGCCTGTGCCTATGGAAAGCTTGCAAAACCACTTTGCAGGAATCAAGGAGAAATGTGATTTAATTTTTTTCTATTTTTTTTTTATCATCCCATTCTCTTCCTTCCTTCCTTTCCCTTGCCTGGTGATAGCAAGTTTTTCCAGTGTTATATGGCCATTGCTATTTTGTTGATAGTGCAGTGTAGTGTTTTTAAACTACGTTGTGCTCATTTAGCATATTACCAGAAATTCCTCAAGCAGCATTGAGTACAAGAAGGGAAATACTGTGAAGGAGGGCTTGGGTTTGCATTTTTTTGTTTGCTTTTTTAACCAGCTTTTAACTTGGCTAGAGTGAAACAGAATTTCATGAGACAAGCAGAAGACAACTGCCTTATCTAATAGCATGCAGAAATCTGTGAACAGTGGAAGTGTTAAAACTTCTCAGAACACTGTTCCTTGAGCCTTTGTATAACAGTAACTTGAGTAAAACTCTTTTGGAAATCTTTAACTTGATGTTGAGCTTGAGACTGGATTTTCCACTTTATTATTTCAACTCCACATGGCTGATTCTTGGCAATGCTAATTTTGTTTTTAAAAATGACCATGACCAGCAAATCTTAACGCTTCAGTGAGAAGTTTTCTTTCAAGTTCCTTTCTGCTCTTCTTTCTACATACCTCTGCTTATGCTTTTGAGATTTCCACTGCTCTGCTGTCACAAAATGGGGTAAATGTGAACCTGGGGCAAAGGAGCACCCAGCAGAACATCAGCAAGGTAACGTTGCGGTTCAGGTTGCAAGCTCTCTTTGCAGTTCTGTACAAAATGATATGTAATTGGCTTGCAAGTATTTCCATGTAGGTGGCAGCATGTGACAGTAACTTTATGAATTTGTTGGCTGCTACTTGGGAAAAGCTCTGGAGAGCAGCAAGTTGGTGCTCTGAAGCTCAACCCGGAAGGAAGAATAACGCTTCCTGAACTGACAAAAACATAAGAAGTAACAGTAACATTTTTTCCTTCATGTTACCCTCCTGATCAAGCTGGCTTTTTGGAGAGTGGAGGAAAAAAGGAGAAAACTGATTTGGTAACAAAGAAGAATACATAGGAAACAGTTGCTAGGTGCAACTAGATGCTAGGTCTGCTGAGCTTTATATACAGTGATTCAGGAAGCCAAGTCCAATAGGAAGAGTAATGTAAAAATCCAAGGAATGTACAGCAGAAAATGCAGTGGCATAGTGATGAGTGGGACTTACAGTGGTTGTCTGTCTTCGTGAAGAACTTAGCATAAACACAGATTAATGGTAGTGGACTGTTAATTAACTCAAGTCTAGCAGTGATGAGAAAATTTCAGAGGTAACTATTATACTGCTGATCCCTTTAAAGAAATACTTCACCGAAGAAATTTTGATACCTATATGTCAAGCCTTCTCTTGCATAAATGTTTTCATGCCACTGTGATCACTTCACCTTTTGTTCCAGCTGAAGTGTTCCTTGGACTTCCCCTTCTTCCCTGTGCTTGACACCAGGGTCTCAAAGCCCAGAGACTTTCCTTATTTGGTTTTTTTGTGTGTTTTGGGGTTTTTTTGGCCAATAACTGAGAAGCTTCAATCTGTCTCGATATAGAGGTACCTCAAAGGATTTCTCCAAATCCAGTCAGACTGGCTGTCTTTGAAAGCCATGTGCCTGATAGTCACTTTACTTCATTTTAATTGCTAGGCGTTTTTAGGCACTGGGCAATCTTAAAATTGGCTTTATTCTAGGAAAACAAGGGGTTTAATTCATGATTAGAAAACTGGAAACAACAGACGAAAACAACAGAACAAATTGGAAAAGGGTTCTAAATAACACTTGCCAGCAAGACTATTCCTTAACTAGTGTGTAGAGATTTGGAGCTCTCTGTTCACTTTTTCTAGGGGGTATCTGTGGAACTGGTGGAAGTGTTTGAGCTCCCTAACTTTTTCCTTGTGATGAACTCTCCTTTTTATGTCCCCCATTCGCTTGGGGACCTTCCTTCCTGCTTTTGCCAAAAGCAATCCAGCATTAGCAGCGTGGAAATCTTGTATCAAGAGTGGCTTTGACTGATTTCTTCTCCCTTGTTTACTGTGTCTGGGTGACTCCTTGTCTAAGCATCTTCCAATTTTTGTTGCCTTTACATAGGCATACCCCATATAGGGGTGGTTGTGTGTATATATGCGCATACATGCATGCACACACGTGTATTTATACCTTTATATATATAAAAGTTGTTTTGAGTGCTGACTACATATTAATCATGTTTGACTAATGATTTCTAGTTTGAGAGCTGAAAGAGTGCTTAATATATATTAATATGACAGTTGACAGGGTTGGCATTCAGGTTGCTTCTATAACCTCTTTCCTCCTCGCTTCTTTCTTTTTGTAGATTCACAGATGTTTGTCAGACCTGTTGGATAACCCAGTTCTTTCAAAGGACTCTTCTGTAATGAATTTGCCAGAGTAGATTCTGATTTCTCCTTTTTTTTTTTTTTTTTTTTTTTTTTTTTTTTTTTTTTTTTTTTTTTTTTTCTGAGGCTGTATGAGATACCTGATAGCAGGGCACTGACTTTCGTAGCTGTAATGTGCTTTTCAGTAGTCCAAACCCTGTAATTATAACCAGAGGGGAAGAAACAACAACCAAATAATGGCTGGGTTTTGTATAGAAGATTCTCTTGATGGAAGTAGTCACGAGTCTCTTCCAGACCATATTTCTGTGACTTGTGGTTTTCTAGGTATTCTTTGGAAAAAATGGGCAGGATCATAGGGCTAGTCAACTCCACTGTGTGTTACAGTTTTGGTATTCTGCCTTCGGATAAGGTTTAAACAAGATCCCTGGTTTGCCTGTCAGCTTGCCACTGGGAGATCAGAACATGTTAGGAAAGGATACATTTCTGGTTTGCTTTTTGCTACTTTTCCTTATTTTCAGGGACTGCCTTGCATTTAGCATAATTTATACATGTAAATTTACTGAAGCAGGGGTCTTGCTGCCTTTTTAGCTTGATTCTGCTGAGAACCTTTTGAGCCATGGTCCAATGGAGGGTGAACATGGACATACCAAATAATCACTCTGGCTTCTTTGCTGAGACTATTCCCTGGTGTTTTATAGCATGACCTAACTTCTTAAATCAGTGGCTGATGAGTAAAATTACTCAGCTGTGTAAAAGCCAAAATGAGTTCCTAATCTCCCTTTCTCACCCCTCTCCCAATTTCTGAATTAGATCTTTCTTTGTGGTATTTCATAACTATTGGGGTTTTCTTGTGTGGGTATTTTTGAGTGTATAGTGTAGTCTGATTGATCTATATCTGTGCCCAAAAGAGGAAGAAAAGTCACTGAATGGAGGTGTTTCTTCCTGCATCAAATCACACAAAACAGTTTTTGTTGAATAATTGTATCTCTGGTTATGTAGACTTTTTTTTTTCCTCCTCTTCTTTTTTCCCCCATTCAAGTAGCTGTGGTATCCAAAGTGGTCAAAGCAAGCATATATGGAAGCACAGAGAGATGACAAACAGGCAGCGTGCTGACTCTCTTTTGGAGGCTGAGCTGGCCCTTCTGCATGCTCTAATTGATTTCCAGTCTTATTTAACCTTAGCTGTAAGGGCACGCAGCCAAAAGTCTATGAGGACTCAGGGTGGAAATTTACTCCCATAGACTTAGGGTGAGGTTTAAAATAAACGTGCATAAGATCATGCACAGCAGCTTAGAGATGCAGCTCAGCATGTATCTCGCATGCGCTTTGGCAGCAGTGTATTAAACTACAATGAAGAAATTTGGA